GCCGACGGGTCCGGCGATCTCCGCCCACCGATCGTCGGATCACTCGCCGTAGTTCAATACTTGGCGAGTGATTAGATAGCTGAGAGAGCGTAGTGTTGAAGAGGGCACAGCGATGAGAGTCGCATCAATGCTCAAATCAACGGGCAAGGAAGGGGTCCCATTTCTCGGGTTCTGGGCCGTTTCTCATGGTTCTTCCTTCTTTCGTGTACCACTCACCATCCTAGGTTAATTTGAATGGGTTGCTTTTCCATCGTAAATTCGTCCTTTAAGAGCCAGACACACAGCGAGTTCTCCCGTATGTGAATTGAGAGGACTTGGAGATATCGACAAAGTAGTATTGAGCATATAACGGTACAGGATCCCCTGATGACACTGGACTGGAGCTCTAGCTTCAACTCTTACTACCGTGCAGCAAACTCGTAGCCTTGACTACAACAGCCTGTTCTGAATGCATACAGTAAGAGAATGGTTTGTTCTCAAAGAAACCTCACCGAAACGTTCACCACTAAAAGCTGCCTATTTAACTGATCGACGGAGAACCGTATTGTAAAATGAGCAGCGGTCAATTCTAGTATAGTAGCACCACCAAGGGAGGTTGATCATGGAAGAAAATCAGAAATAGATTATAGGAATCAGATGACAACACTTCCATGGAAGAATGCTTTGAAATCTTTCATGCGATAACATACTGAAGGTCTAACAAGGGGAACCGTTCAGATATAGACAGAAACTTTCAAGGAATACTATTTTCTATGCATATACTCTGGCTTTTTATATACACAAAAACGATTTTTCGGATATGACGAGAGAAGAATCTTTGTTAGAATTCTACTTGAAAATGATATGCTTTACCTTAACGGCTTTATACAGAACTGACTTGACGCGCCATCAAAAGATTGATCACACAAAGTTTTGGATCACAAGGAAAGGATCCCAGGTCGCCATGGTATTCAAGAAGAGATGTACCACTAGATGTATACTCAAACGCTTATCCCGAATCTACCTTCAAAATCTGCTACACGGTTCTCTAAACGGAGTTAGGAGCAAAACAGTAGTGGTCGGGACCCACGGCCGAGACGTCATGAGAACGATTCCTTCCACCTTTTTTTGTCTTGCTTTTCCGGAAATACGGCTCCACCCCCCCCCCTCTATCCTTAATGAGAAATCTTGACCAATTTCAAATTCACACCTTACCTGTGAATCTGAGCTTTATGAGATTCTTGTTCAAAAATCTAAATTAGTTCACGGGTCTCGAAGACTCATGAGAAGGTCTACATGTAGTATTTCCTGAAGAAAATCTTTCGGTAGGACAAACAGTTCCTAGACGCTTTTATGAAAGCGGATTCTTAGCATCAAAAGGCTGATATGTTCGCGTGTTTATGTTCGAAGAAGACGAGCCGTTGGGTAAGGATGTCATCATGTTATTCAAACATTTTTTCCTTGCTTTTCAAAAGCTTGTTTGTGTATCCAATGAAGAAGCGTGGGTATTCAGATAAAGCCACTGTCAACATTCCACTTCATAGCGTGTGCACAGAATCCGCATGTTTTTGCAGCTGCTTAGGTAATAAACAACAACAGCGAGGGTACAAGGCTGGTACCTGGTTATCGTTAACATGGGGATTTGGAGGATTCATGGAAATCGGAAATGGAAATCGATGATTATGATGATAGGAATGCTGCCGCCCCAGGGCAACATTCAGTTTTGAAGTAAAACAAGGATGATAATATAAGGAAAAGAACGTCACAACAGAGAGGAGAAGATGTTAGCAAAGCCTTAAACTCAGGAAAGACAGGAAGCCATAGGCAGATTCAGAAACGTTGACATGACTGCTGTGAAGACTTCACGCAAGGCGCGGTGCAATCGTGCCACCTCGTTCCAAGCTGTTCCCAGTTATATTGCTCTGCCCATCATGTCGTCTGCAGTAGTCGAAGTACTTTGCAAGCTGACATTGAACCGGTAACTCAACTACCGCTAGCACTCTAATTTCCACCTATATAATCTGATTCACTTATACACACGGAGAACATCGATTGTGCTTTGACAGGCACATAAGCGCATTTGCATATGATCCAACACATCGATGACGGCAGCACTACATGGACGCGGTTGTCGGCGGCCGGCTGTGATAATCCGACACGATTTGCGCACCTCGCATTGTATACAGCATTACCTGTATGGTCCGATTCCAGATCACATGCAAAACAGTTGACAACTCTTTAAAAGGCGTCACGCGTCTGATAGAGGGATCAAACTAGGGTTTGCACGAAAGGAGCCACATTTTTTTTGAAGATGTGGTGACAACAGCGGCCTACATTTGCCAAAAGCGTGCTGAAAAGTACCGTAATGAGTCACCTCATTTAGAAAAGGATTAGCGCCAATATTAATTCGCTTTTGCACAACTACTTTCTACAAAATGTTGACTACAGCCTACTGCCTACGGATTTTATTCAAGAGATACTGCTGAATTTTTCATTAATTTTTTGCAGTCATGACGCCGACAGTCGGCTTAATGCATAGCCTTTACTTGAAGCGTTGCAAGAGATACGTAATTTGGCTATCTCTCAAGAGGCAATTCAGTTGCGAAGTCAAAAAAAAACATTAAGTTCTTGAGCCAAGGTTGCTTAGCTTCTAAGCAGTTCAGCATTTGTCGAAGTAAGGACGTGGGGTAAACTATGGGAGTTTGTGAGTTGTCTTTGCAAAACCAGACTGGTGAGGTGCTTTCTGCTTTTGAAAAGGGTAAGGCGAATGGTTACCTAGAAATAGTCGCTTGTACAGATAATACAAAACGGAATCTCCCCGGAAATTTTGCATTCTTTCCCAACATGAATATGTCAGTTGTGATCACTAGAGACAACACACAAAGTTTCACGCAAGAAGATTCAGTTTCCGAAGAGAAACAAACTTACGAAAACCACACTCTATGGACGGTCGAAGGTAGGTCGGGCGGAGACAAGGGAACGCATGGAAAGAAGTGCGCCTTGGGGCGGCCACGTATCAGGCGACGCATTGAAAGAATCGGGTTAAAGCGTTCGAATTGGAGAATAGAGATAAAACGATCGAAAGAATGGAAAGCCAAAAACAGTTCCTTATGTAGGTATTCTGAGCGTCGCCACATTTGTGACAGATATACGGCAGGAATTTGAAAGCCCTTCTTATTTTTCGAGTTGTTTACGTAAATAAACAGTGTTTTTTCTTTTCGTTTTTATCATGAATGATGAGTCTCAAGCCACTGAATTATGGGTGAAATAAAACCACGGTTTGTCCGTGAGCGATTCCTTTAGCAATCTCACCATGGATATGGTAGGCTAGGAGCACAAAATTTCTCCCTAGCATAGAATGTTAGGAATATAGCGATGGAGAATCCATTGAAACAGTTACCCCTCACTCCCTCCACCCGGGAAGTAGCCTTCGGCCTCGAGGTAAGAAGGAGATACAACTTCAGATAAGGGAATACTTGGAGTTAGGCTCAAAAATAAACCTCTGCAGGAAAAAGCTTATTTTTTCAATAAAATCTTCAGTTACGACTTGTAGAGGTTTACTTTCCGGAATTTCCGGTCAGCTTGAAAATCCTGTTCTACGCTGCTTTCAAAACATGAATAAATCGCAGAGTCGAGATTTCAGAGGCGGAAGCTGTTCTTTGCCACGGCAATTAAGCTGTATTGAGTAAACATCGGGTCGTACCGTAAAATCACGGGGATTTCGTCACATAGTGTCCAGTCACAAGACCATCGTGAGACTAATCTCGAACCAATTGAATCATGCGCGCATCCTCCATAAAAGAACACATCCCAATTGGAAAGGGATGGAAGAAATAGAAGTTTTCATCTTCAACCATCAGAGACTGCGAAATACCCTTGCTGGGTTGCTTGTGTTCACAATCGAACATTAGGTGAAAGTATTGAATTCTTTATATGAGAGCACATCCAGTGGAGTTATGCTGGTAAGTCAACCAGACGTATGCTCAAAAAAAAAACATCTGAATTATTGTCAGATTTGGGAGAAAAAGAAATTTTGGATTTCACGGCATTAGTACAATAGATCCTTGTCAAAACGATACTCACAGCAGGGGAGAACAACTCAGCACTTATCAATCACTCTTTGGGATTCGCCACGCATTCAGCACCCACTCAGAACCGCAGGGCACTAAACACGTACCTGATCAGTGCTGACACTTATGGAGTCCGAAAAGATATGTGTCCTAGTAGCCGACCTTGCCATGTTGGAAAGTTCAATTTGGGTAGGATGATCCAGAGAACTACCGTAGCCACTTGCTACTGCTTGACTACTACTACTGCGCTACTTGCGACGGTAAGCCACCGTGTTTGAGCAAGGAAGTAAGAGCAACCTGAAGTTAGGTTGAAGTGAAATTATATCCGGTAACGTAACTTGGTAGCGCACTTGCCCGGTAAAGCGAGAGGTGCGGGTTCTAGTCCCGCCTGGGGCGAAAGTTTTGTTCACAACCCAGCATTCTTGTGAAACATTCGCAATGCGAACTGCAACGTCAGAACAGCAGCCAACAAAACAAGTTAAAATTAATACTTATGAGTAATATGAAATAGAAATAATGCTAACAAGAGATCAGGAATGCTGTTAACTATTCATAATCATCAAGCGCTGAAAACTGGCTCTACTCGCTGGAGGGTATTTAGCCCTTACGCAAATCTCTCTACGATAAAGTCAACTCAATCCAAAAATTACTTACAATCGTTCATACAGTCGCACTTCAGCGGTTACTGGACGTGAAACCCAGTGCACAAATGCCTTCGGCTTGTTTTGCTCGGTCAACGGCGCTGCCTTGACCAGCAGTTCGTTGACATTTCCAGAGGAATCCTAAACCATAGTGGAACTGAGCGGATCGGAGTAAATCAAAGTAACAAATCGAAACCCACCAGTTGTTCCTCAACGACGCTGAGAACAATTCCAATGTATTTCAGACCCACTGGTTGAGTTTTCGTGAGACGCCGGAAGCCTTTTTCTGCTTGATCCTTAAAAAGTGACCCATTATAATACTATCTGACACTAAATGGCGCATATTTTTAGAGCGCCTTTACTCTACACTTTTTTCGCAAGTTTTTGTATTTAATTACTGCTTTTCACTGCAGCTCCCGATGAGAATGGAATCTTAAGAGCGCTCATGGTTAGCCAATAGCAAAGCGTTCGACTTCAAACGAACTCCATCATAGATGTAAACTTCAAGCTGTAAGCAGTGTAATAGAAAGTAGGTCTGAAACAATATCTGTAAACTTCCAGCCATAATCGACGCTCTATGCCACGCAAACGAGCGCGCGTGAACCCTGACTAGCGGTTATGCAGCGATCAAACTGGTCGCGTCGAAATACTTTTAAGTACTATTAGCTTCGCAACAGATAACTCCTATGAGAATAAACTGAACAGTTGAAAGTTAAAAAAACACACTCCCCAATAAAGTGTCCCGCGAACACTTTTGACTCTCTAAAGGGAAAATACCGTAAGATACGGGATTTTTTTCAATTCCTACCAGGAAAGTGTCGCCAAACAGGCGAATCTGCAGCTATTCCTTCATCACCCATGTTGATGTGATGCTGTTTGCCGTGACCTGACCCTTACAAATGCGCTCTTTGAGATATATCGCTAGTAAATCCGGGCGTTTTTTTTTTCAGCTGGATGACATAGATTCTCTTTCATTCAACATTGTTAGCTTGTGTTCCTGGTTTGACACCAGCACAATTATATCCCATAAAACTGCTTAAATTGTTCCTTTAACCCTTTCACACAGACCATTTGCTTCCGAAACGATATGTCAATAGAAGGCTGACCTGTTCAAGAGCAGCTGCCGCTAGAAAGTGTTCCGGGGAAAGAAATGATTAGACCATAACACTTGGCATAGTTCAGACGCAGCTGTCGCAAACGAGTGAAACGCATTTATTCACTATTTCATACAACCAACGGCATTCGCAATCGAACGCACTAAAAAGCCAGCTGCATCGGGTGGGTTGTTGGCCGTGGATGTGGACACATTTCCCTGGAAAAGCGAAGCAGCGAATAATAAAATGGGGCAAATGTGCGCTTGATGGGTTGAGAGATGGTTGGCAAGTCCCAAGATTTACACAACCTAAACGCCTCACAGAAGAACTTGACTATTGCTTGAATTTCAATAAGCAGTTTTTATAATTTAGTAAACCACCATCGTAAGCTCCAAAATCTGCTTCACTCTGCAAGGGCGTCCATACCTTGGCGTGACTTTACCATGGCACCAAAATCATGAGTCACTGGTGCCACCCTACAAACCGGTCTATGGCGATTACCACTAAATCGCCAATGCAACGACCAAAGTGTAGATCGACAGAGTGCAGCGTGCAAGCGCAAAATGTGTTTGTACTCGTCATCATTGAAGCGACGCACGACAAGTCCGTTCGAAGAAGCAAAGACCGAAATAAGTTCACTCTCCGAGAGTCCACTGTACGGGACTTCATCTATGAAAAACAGCGAACATTTCGCCACCTGAATTCGAAAGTGGTCGCCCGCTCATACATTACTAATTTGTTCGCAATGTCGTTCGGGTTCGCGCCTAACCGCTCTGTGACTCGTCTCGCCTGGCATTCGATTGATGCGTAAATGACTTCGTATCTGCGCTAACCATATCATGCTCAATGTCTGTTCATCGTGAAGTTATACGAGTTACAAGTAACGGCTGGCACGACACCCACTACGAACGCTACACTTCCGTCGTGACAATCTTTGGTCGGCGAAACTCATTCAGCGTCTAGGCCGGGCACCTAAAAAAAGCCGATTGGCGCGCAGCCAGCGAACGTCGGCCGCTTGCAGAGAGTCAATCGAGCGCATAGCAGACAGCGCGAAAATTGTTGGCCGTGCGCCCAACTCGCTCAAGACAAGGCCGTCGCCGAAGAAAAAGAAGAGTACATCGCGCGACGTGGCGCGATGCCTGGCACGCACTGAACGTCCGCGTCCCCGCCCGGCGACCTATCGCGTACGTACCCCTCTAGACGCACATAAAATATCCAGCACACAAAAAGACACGAGGAAACTACGTCCAAAACGCACACCTTGCCGTGCCACCCCGCGATCCAAGTTCTTCCACCTAACGTAGCAATGATAAGAACAGTCAAACCTTGGGACAACCTGGGGATCGAAGTATGTAGGTAAGGGATAACATTGTTAAAAGAGCAGACGAGTAATATAAGGGTATATAATGGATTATAAGGTAGGATTAAGAATGAACACATTAGACAAACAACCATAAATGTGAGAGAGTGCCTATGCCTTCGGAAGAATAGTAGTACCAAACAGCTAGAATTGGAGATAAGTAAGCGGCAACGTGAGAAAATGGACATCACTGAAGATCTACAACGAGGAAAAATGAGGGTAGAGCTCGGTAACTTCAAATTACACAAAAGGAAAAACTTTAGATCGTCCTGTTCATGGACGACGGAACAGCACCGTCCTACTCAGATAGGCTCACACAAGCTTCCATTCAGGTTCATTAAACCCAAGCTACACAACCACAATACGCTCAACTTTGGCTGGAGATGACTCCACAGTGATCGTGAAATGATGCGAGGCTTCACCGCAAAAAAGGTGCGAATCGGTAACTCTTTGTGTCTCTCTTCATGAAAAATGTAGCATAGTGGGGTGAAAAAGTGAGGTATGCAAAATGTGATTTGAACTCGAATAAGGAAGTACCTATCATATAGATTTTACGAAAAAGCTGAACAAGAAACATTACTGCTCCTTTTGATCTCCATTTGCTTGGACGCAGGATCGAACAAGTTGGAGAGACACGTTGACGGTGGTGAGCAGGGTAGTCCGCTTCCAACAACTGCATGCCTCCTGCATGAGTCTCTCCGAGAGGTCAGGCTTTCGGTAGGGCTTTGTGTATCCTTAGGATCGAGAGATTCGGTGAATAGAGATGTCGCTTATCATCAATTGAAGTGACTCTCCCGACAAAGTGACAGTGACAAATGCAGTAGGTAGTTGGCTCCCAACTTTACTTCAAGCGCAGACACTCGCTTATCTCTCTAATACTCGCTCTGGACGCTGAAAAATCTGTCCAGTCTGATTAAAAATGTCCACCAGTGTTGTGGACACCAAACAGTTCATTAAGCCATCCATTTCCAGAGAGAGACGCAATAGCTCGGAACGCTTGACTGTACAAGCCAGTGATGAGGAAATGTGGGCCTATGGCATCACAGTCCAAGAAAAAGACAAGATTCACTCTATTCGGGAAGCGAACCCAAAGAATCGTAAGAAAACAAAAAGTTTCCAAAAGACAGCGCTTTAACGGCTGAAGTTTCCACCCACGGATGCTTTTCCGTCACTTCAGCCCTATACTCAAATAAATTTTCTGAAGAGCATGTTTTAGAGCACTGATGAAGTAATTCTGCCACACCACATGCACACTGAATTCCAGTTGGCATTGAGTTGAGCTGGTGATGTGACAGGTGGCGCTGCTTACTGTGCGTACTGCCCAAGGATCACATTGTGGAGCTTGAACCGTCCAAGCCAAGTCAGGATTCTACCAGTGCGGGGTCGATTAATCAATAACAAACTTGTCTGGGAGGATAAAAACAATGAATTGTACACCGGTTGATCTTCCTTTCTTCGCAAGTCATTGTCTAGGCTGAATTTCCTTAAAAATGCCACTAATTTCTGAATAGAAGTGGAATGTGTGGCACATTCCACAATGGGATTGATCAACGCCTGGTCCTTTACTTTTACCCCTTGTTGAATTGAGCGTTGAAGAAGAACAGAGATAAAGGGTTTCTAAGAAAACCATAAAATAATCATACGTTCCACTTGTCAACTACAGTTGTAAAAGCAATGGATTTAAATCTATAGGTTTGGCAAGTGATCAAGAAAGTGCCTCCATCCTCCCGAACTATCGCTTCACATACTAACGGTTAGGATGGAAGGCTTTTGGCCTGAACGGAATACGCTAAAGGCAGACGTCTGCTTGAGCTCCGTCCAAACTGGATTCTAATATCCAACTTTTCCCCGTGAGCTGAAGGAAGCGAACTATTGGCCGCCTCAGCATCGGATAATTACTTTATCACCTAGGTTATCGATTACGATTTTAGACCATAACTTCACCCTTCAAATTCAAATGTTCACAATAGACAACATCTTTCATATGACACCATTCGCCTTCCGATTGTGAAGTTTTGAATTAATGACCATGGAAATGTCAAGAAGCAGATTCTGCCCGAACTTT